GAACTGGAAAAGTGTGCCTGGATCATCAAACCAGTGAAATTCAGACTCAGAAAACCATGTAAAAGTTTTGAGACATGTAGGCAGCAAATACTAGTGGCAACAGAGCGCTATAGACTTCAGTAGAAGACCAGAGAAGCACAAGGATAAATGGTGTCACACTCAAGAATAAAGATTTTCAGAAGTTTTGCTGTCAAACTTAAGGAGATCAGAGTTGTATCAGAAGTTATTTATTTTAAATAAAATTACTCAGTTGTGTAATTTGCAGAAAGTTGGATAAAGGCCATGTTTCCCTGCTCTTTGAAGTCTTCAAGAAAAACATTACTTCAGTGGGAGCAAGACCACAATAATTTCTCTTTTATTACTGTTTTTCTCCATCTCTACCATTTTGAACAAGGTAATACTGTTTGTTCTGTCAGCAGTCTTAATAATGTATTATACTTTAAAAATGACTGGTTTGGAATCATGGTGGGGTTTTTGGAAGAACAAAGTGCTGCTGCTCTTGGGTTGTAAATCTGTGATGATTAGTTAAAAGGCTAAATGAACATTAACATGTCCTGTCACTTTGACCTCAGTGGAGTTAAAGTAAGTAGCAGGGCAAGTTCAGTGGCTTTAAATGAGTTATTATTAGTCAAATCCCTGCAAAACCAGATAAATGTTATGTCATTCTGTTTTGTAATTTTCATCCAGAGAACTCTGGCTGACTGGTGACCTCACGTATTCTGGTCTATGCTTTCCTGCTAGCAATATGTTTCTTGTCCTGGCACTCCAATCTCTGCATTTCTTCTATTTTGGCCTGAAGGAGTCTGTTCTGATTATTTTGACTTTATCATGCCTATGGAGTCAGCCTGACAAACTCAGGATGAGTCAGATCTACTGCATATGGGATTTGCATGCACCCGTGTGTGTGTGCACGTGTCCACAGTTGTTCATGCCTGGGAGCCTGTGCTCAGCAAGGTGAGAACAAAGCTGGAACTTAAGAGAGTCCTGGTACTGCTCCTGTTTTGACTGGATGTAATTTCTGAGTTCAACCAGAAAACACATGTGTCAAGACCTGGAAGTTTCCCAGCCCTGCACATGAAGCAGGAGTATGTGTAGCATTCTGTACATTGAGCTTCTGCTCTGCAGGTGTCCGTCTGTCTGGGATGCATTTGTATGAGCTGGTTCTGTGGTCTCAAGCAGGGACATGTTCAAGTGTATTTTTGATTTTTCCTTTGTTCTGCTTTTTCGCCCTAAAAATCCCTACATTTATTTCATTTTGGTTTTATTCTACCCTATATTGTGATTTGGAAAGTATATAAACAAAATGCAGATCTATAAAAAGGCTATTCATTTTTTTTTCATGTTTCTTATGCCTAGATTCTTCTCAATAATTGCCATCTTTCTATGTGTGTTCTTTAGTCAAGCAAATAAGCTGGATTTAATGACATCTTTTTCCTTATGCGAGGACCTCTTCAGCATGAAGAGAGAAAACAAAGTAGTAATATTTGCTGGCATATATCATAAAGAGAAATGTTAGTATTTGTAGAAGGAACACGGAGTAGTGGATTGCAGTTGTAGCCATTCATCCTTGATTGATTCCTGAAAGTAGGATACATTTGCATAATGCAGGCGTGTTTTGGAGGAGGGGAAGAATATTTTTACCTTTTTATTCTTGCTCGTTTTCCTCTCCCTTTCTCAGTTTTGATACATTTTCAGTTTTCACAAGATTTTCTCTCTTGCCAGATATTAACAAAAGCAAAGAATGTGTTCAATTGTATTTTAAGCAGTACATGAAGTTTACTCATATTTGTTTGGTTCTCCTGTGCATAGATGGTGAGAACACTGAAGTGCAGAAAAGCCTCATCTACCTGGTGTCCCTAACACTTCTACTTTAGTTCCACTGGCATCATCCACAGCCACTTGGACCAGCTTCCTTAGCTCAGGTTACCAACTCTGTGTAGTCAAAGCCAAGGCTTGCTGGTGAAATGATGTGGAGCCGGCACGTTCTTATCCCACTCAGTAATCCCACTCAGTGTCCTTTTTTGTCTTGCGAGGTGATCAGGGGTTGTCACTGGGTGTTGTGTGAAGATCCTGAGTGCCTGGGCAAACTCCCAGCTGACTGGGTGAGGTGAGGCTGTGCTGTGGCACCGCCTGAGCAGCGCTGTGCAGCTGCAATGCAGAAGTGGGAAGCCTCGCCATGCCGACAAGCCACAGTGTCTAGACATGCTGTGATTGTTTCTTTGCTCAGTTCAGTGTGTTGCCAAAGACCTTTTTAGGTACAGTAGGCAGATGGGAGCACAGTGCCTGCAGCCATGTAACAGCAAAGGTGGTGACTGCATGTGTGCTCTCCGTGGTGCCCCCTCCACATTCAATCACTCTGCTTGGTCATACCAGTGACTTTAGTACCACGTCCTGTCAGCAGCAGGAAGCAGCATTCCATGTGTTTAGCTTTAAATCTTGTGATGATTTCTTGAAACCTTCCACTAGTATGTCTATTTTTATCCATTTGCAGATGGCTGCCCCATTCTTTTTAATTAGTGGGCTTCTGGGAAATAAAAAAGTACTGTGACTGAATTCCCCTCTTGTGTACCTGTGTTTGTCATTGACAGTAGGTACAAACAGCTGTTTGGAAAGTGGGTTTGTCTGTTGCTTTTCCTGACCATTTTCATGGAAGTTTTTGTGTTCGACTGAAACTTCATCCGTTCCAGAAGTCATTTTGAAAGGAAAGAGTGGGAGACAGAGACATGAAGCAAAGCCACTCTAGCCCTTTTGCTTTAGCAACTCATGCTAAACCAAAGCAAAAGTAAACTAAAACATGCTTGCATACCTTCCAGTAAAATAATTGATGTGGTTTTTTTGCAGTTAGACTTCTAATTTTGGTGGCTTTATTTACAGTTTCTGTAAAACTGGTTTGGTGTGGGCTGCGTAGACTGAGTTAGCCTATTTTTAGCTTAAATTAAACTAATCAGGGTAGTTTCTGGTGTTATACTACCCACAGCATGCACTGTATTTTGCTTGATGAGTGCTACCACAGTCATAGGAGCAGCAGAGTTGCCATATGAAGAAGTGTAAGGGGAGCAAGATGTGAATCTGTAGAAGTCTGACTTCTGTTTCTTAGATTTTGTGTATGTGCATGTTTTCCTTAAATCAATACTATGGATTTGTACTCTGCTTTCCAGTTTTGTTTAGGTAATTATTAAGATTAGAATAAAAATAAACTTTCTCAAGCTTTTATTTTGATTGAATAGAATCTGATATGTTTATGTAGAAATAAGAATTGTGAAGTGAATGCTGGGGCGACAGTGGGCAGGTTCAAGCACTTATAGAAATCACTAGTAGTGTTAGGCTTGTTTAGAAAAATTGAGGTATACAGCCTTCTTTGTAATGTTTCAAAGTGTAATAATTCAGCTGCTCATTCTGGTGTAGTGAGTGCATACATAAATCACTTGCACACTGCATCTTGGAGATGGGTTGCTTGCAGTTGTCTGTAGAACTTACTGCATGGTAACACTTATAATTAATTACTTGACAGACTGAATGTCTCAGAGTAGTTTGTCATCAACATGCACTGGTGACGGGTAGTTTGAGTGCTGAGGTTTTGAGAATTCTCTGGTACATAGTAATATAAAAAGTGGATTTTGGTCCTCTTCCAGGTTTTAAATTTGTCCTTGCCTTTCTGAAAAGTGGGAGGCAATGAAAGGGTGATGCAATGTCTTGTCAAAAATATAAGGTTCTCTTACCACCTTGGACTATGAAATTGAAAGTGACTTTCTATCCTTTAGCTTCAATTGATCCCTATGCCTTGGAGAACACCATCTAAATCTGCTTTTGGCAATTTTTACAAGAGAGTTTGACATCACTGAATTTCAAGGAGGAGTGTATATGTGCACATATGATAGAAATGATATGATATAAATTCTTAATTTAGGAGAAAATATGTAAATTATATTTTGAAGTGCTTGATGATAGGGCGAATGAGATTCTTGAGAAATTTTGATGTGGCAAACATAAATCTGAATCTTTGTTGGCCAACCTGGAGAGTTCTTCTTTTTCGTATGATGTTTCCAAACATTTCTAAACATGGTTATGCATTTGGCAGATTTCCTGAGACTTTCATAGGTCAGGAAAGCACTGGAAAAAAATCACAATCACTTCCAGTCATCTAGTACAGTTATTTCATATAAGTGAGCAAACAGAGTGGAACAATGACCCCTTTTTTTTTTTCATGTCTCTGTTTCGGTTCAAGGGTGAACTGTTGATTGCTGGTATATTTGTTCTGTTCTGTAGACGTTCTCAATCTAGGAAACGAATGCTTAAATTGAACAGAGTACTACTGTTTCTTCTTGTGAAGTGCCTTTTTCTTGAGGTGTTGAGAGCAGGAAACTGCTATGTGATTCCCGTCTTGCTGTTTCAAGTAGAGATAGCACTTGATTGATTAGCAGTACTTTCTTTGTTTCAATATATAAAAAAGAAAGATAATTTTTAAAATATTTATATTTGTCATTCCTACAAGATAGGTTAATGTCTGGAAATGTGCTTAATGATGCATTGCGTTCTTGAAAATGGCTTTTATATTGTTTTGAGATATTAGAGAGCAACTACGTTTTTCTCTTGAACTTTACGTTTTATGGAAGAATACTGAAGTTTTACCCATCAGAATTTTGTCATGGATTTTACTCAGGGACGGACTGAAGTCCATGTACTAGCCATGTTTAATTTTGGTGGTGTAAAGGCACCAAGGATTTTTCTCGAATTCATGGCTCATGGATTTTTATAATTCTTCAGCAAATATTCCTCTGCTGATTCTCATCCTAAGCTGCTAGGTATTTTAAAGAATGACTTTTTTTTTTTCAATCTCTTTCTATTTGGTTCTTTTTCACATTGTATAGTTGAAGTGCCTTACATTTCTAATTTATTGACTTGAGAGACATGTTTTATTTCTGCAATTAAAGTCTGAGAATTGCTGATGAGCTGTCTCCTCAATGCCTATTATATCTCTTCTGTGTTTCTTTAACTCCTAGGAGCCTCCAAGGTAGACCCAGGACCTCACTTTGGCTCTGCACAAATGCTGAACAGAGGCAGTACATGATTACAGAGGGATGGTGACTAAAAGGTGGGTAAAAGATTGCATTTTGTTCAGTCAGTAGATGATGATGTCATGGAGAGATTGTAAGATTATGTCTGGAAAAAAAGACTTGTGTTGTGACTTTGTAGACCATTAGAGTTGTTCTGCCTTTCTCTTTTCCGTAAGCTAAGGAAAATCAACAAATAAAAATGAGAGGAATGAAAGAAAAAGAACTTGCAATTCTCTTTTCTTAGCTCTCTTAAATTATGCTCAACTTCAAAAAGGGAAACTATGTAAAAATGGAGATGTTTGTTTAAGGTGACACTGAAGGATAGCTGTAAGAGTAATATGTTTGTAGGTGACTATTTCAGGATGCTGTTTTGAAGGCTCCCCACATCAGTCTAAAAACATCTTAGGAAAAGGAAGCCTGTATAGCTAAATGACCAGGTAGAGGAGACTATTAAAAGCAAGACAACATCTTAAAAAAAGCTGTGTCTGTGTTCAAAGAAGGAAATAGGACCAAAACATTCCCCTGTCAGGCTAAACAGAAAGTTAATAAATGCTTTTTTCAACCACACCAAGAGCAAGAGGCCAGCTGGAGACTCTGTGGCCTGTGTATAATGACACTCTGACAGGAGTGATCTGAGATAAAGCCATGGCAGAAAACTGAGTAATTCTTGTGTGTATGTTCTCACCACTGAAGAGTGTGGGGTGGTTCCTGTTTTGGAAACCTTATGGGCGTTTTAGGAGATTGCCTTTCCAGAACAAATTTCATGTTCTCAGTTTAACAGGTCCAGATGTAGTTTATCCAGTTGTTTTAGGAATGGTACAATGAAATAGACCAGCTACTTACTGTGGCATGCCCCTTGCATTTAAGTGTCTCACCAGCTGAGTACTTGAAGATGTCTAACCATATTTCAGAAAGCATTCATCAGAACTCAAGGAGTCTAAAAACCAGTGGGTCTCTTGTTTAAACTGAGTGGATTAATTAAAAAATTAGATTAGTATCTCTGCTTTAGAAAGAACACTGAGTATTACAGTGGAGATACTGAGAAAGGATTGATTTCTCTGAATAAAAGCCCGATTAAGAAGATGTTTAAGACCTGGTGAACTGGTTAATATTAGCCTTCAGCTACTTGAAGGATGTTTACAAAGATGATGGAGCCAATGTTCCTAGTTGAGACAAACCAATAGCAGGAGGTTAACATACACAGATTACAAATTGAAATGTTTTGATTGGACATTGTAGGTAAATCTTTTTCTGTAGCAGTGTACTGCACTGAATAAAACATGGGTTTGTGGTGGGGGTGGCACCTTTCCCAGTGAAGCTTTCAAGTCTTAGCTGGACAGAGCTATGGCTGACCTGATCTTCTGTGGCTTTTAATGGCTAGCCAGACTGTCCGACTGGAAGACTCCCTGGGATCTTATCTTCTTATTTGAAGTCAAATCACAAAAATTGCCTGTGGTCTTTGAAGGAGACAACTGGCATGCAGGTGAAATACATCATTGGATATATTGTTCTACTTAAATTATGAAAATTTATTTTGTATTCAAAGTTCCCTTGAAATTTTTTTAAAGGAATTAATAGGCACAAGTTAAGGACAAGGACTGCCAACTGTGTGGATAATTGTTTAAATGGTAAGGGAAAATCTTCAGGAGAAAAGTGTGTTTGAAATCACCAGTGGATTTCCATAGATATCTCTGTGAGTGCTAGGGGGTATTTTCACGTTCATAAGTGACAAGACAAAGTGTGGTGACAAGGTTTGTTTCTGAAACTAAGTTTTTCCGGACAAAAGAAGGTAAACAAAAAGGCAGCAGACTGAAACAAATGCAAAAGAACCATGTAAGACCAAGTGGCCATTAAAATGATGGAAGAAATTCAGTACCCGTAATATTTTGAGTTAGCTTGAGGTCTTGGGACTATAAACAGCAATTTATTAAAAAAATCTGATCTATACTTTAGTAGCTATCAGGAAGCAAATTTATATCAGGAATTTTTCTGAAAGGAGAGAAATCAAAATACTAGACCACTTTCTAAATCTATGAAGTGTTTGTGTCTTAAAGATGGTGTGCTGTCCTTGTCTGCTCATCTCAGAACAAGTGGAGTAGAACAGGAAAAGTTTCAGAGAAGGGCAACAAAAATGAAGAAGAGCAGCAGAATGCAGAAGGCATCCATGGAGCAGCATCCATACAAGAACAACTAACTAGATGGGAGTTTTCAGACTGTAAAAGAGAGAATGTCCAGATGCTAATGCTAGGTATTTATAAAATTATAGGAGCTATGAGGTGTGTATTAGAAGAGAAGATGAGGTGAAACAGACAGGGAACAGTTTTAAAGCTGGGAAAAGAAGTGTTTTGTTTTGGTTTGGTTTTTCTTGGCATAGTGTGTAAGTCGGTTCTGAAATTCCTTGCCACAGCATGCTGTGTGTGTTGCATGGGTATAAAGAGCTTCTGAACAAATTAGGAAAAGGAGGTGGAAAAAAAAACAAGAAGAAGAAGAAAAAAAGGAGTTGATAATCATATTACTCCTGGGTAAGAAAATTACTGAGCTGCAAATTATGGAAGGTATGAAGTGTTTTGGGGAAAGTGGAAGAGAATTTTTGTATGTGGCTGCTCTAAATATCTGCTCTTAGCTGCTTCTGAAGACAGAGTAGTAGGTCAGGCTGGATGTTTTGTCTGAGTTGGTTTTGTCATTTCAGTTGGACCAAACAGCCAGCCTGACCCACTGTGGTGGTTCTTCAATGCTATTTTATAAACAGTAAGGTTGCAGGGTGCAGTCCCAGAAGAGAACTCTGTTACTAACACTATTTTAAAAAATGCTAAGCTGTTATGTAATTTGAGGTCTCCCACTGAGCTTGGAGCCTTTTCCCTCATTGTAAGATAAATGCTTTTAATCTTATTTTGGCACTTGATAAATTACAATTAAATTTGTTTTAATATGTTCAAGCTGTTTCTTTGAGAGCTCAGTTCTTAGTCCGAAAATCTCAGTTTTCTCTTTACCCTGTTCCCTGTACAGTCTGTAGTGCCTGTCAGGGAGCGAGGAATTACCAGAACACCTTTTGTCAATCTGAGTTCTAGTGACACCCATTTTGGTCTAGAGACAGTAGACTTCAAGGAGCAAGATGAAATGGGAAAGCCTAAAGGAAGTACAAAGAGAGTGAGAAAATACTGATAAATGTAGAGATACTTTTGTGCTTGCAAATTAGCTTCAGAAACAAAGTGTTGGAGTTGTATTATATGATCAAAGGGGAAAGGCTAAAAGTGACAACGTTTCATAATAATAGCAGTTTAAATGGCTGGAACAGATAAGGTTATTGGAAGGAAGATGATAATGGGAGAAGATTAGAGGAAAATAGGTAGATTGATCTTAAGGAATTGAATGAAAAGATGTAAACAAGGTTGAGGAACTACTAAATGAACTTCTGAAGACTCAACTAATTATAGGAACTTAGAGAGGAGCAGAATGGGAATGTGTCCAAAGAGTGTGTTTAGTTTTCCATCAGTGGTTTATGGATGTGAGATGGATGGATTCATGGAAGTATTAAAGAGTATTTTAACTTCCTCTACCAGTATGTGTACTTCCTCTGGGAAGTTTTCCAAGAGCACTTGAAATAAAAAAAAATCGGACGGGGAATTTTTATTTTTTTTTTATTAGGTCAGAGAGATTAGTTGCTCTTGCAAAAATGTATTTTTTTAAAATAGTAGCAAAAATAAATCTAAAGAAGTTGAAATGGAGACTGAGAATTTCTAAGTAACATGGCCAAGACTTGGGAAGACAAGAATGATATGAAAATTTCAAATAGTGATGCACTGTCCTGAGGAAAGAGTATTTTTCTTGCAGGAGGGGATGCAAGGATGTGATTTTAGATAAATGGATGGGAATTGCAGAATAAGAGCAGTTAAAAGGGAAAGAAGAAGAATTATATAACCTAAGTCATTACCAATTTAAAGTAATGCTTAGGTCAGCCGTTTCTCCACCCATCTAATTCTTTGACCTCGTCCATTTATGAAGAAAAGTTCTTCTTCTTCCACTTCTGACTCTTCTGGTGTCTTCCTTGTGGCACTGTGTGTCTAGAGATGAGGGCTTCCCTTTGTGCAGGAGGGCCTGTGGAATTTTAACAAATGAAACATAAAAATGAAAGGCTCATTGTAGTAGTTGTTCTTTCTTACAAGGAGCCTGCATTGCTTCAAAGCAGAAATAGCAATTTCAGAGTCAAGGGAGCGTCATTCTCTTTCAGAAACTTTGTACCCGATGTGTAACATAATTGCAGATCACTGAGCTGCTAACAGCTTTGTTCTGAAGTGATGAATTGTGCTGTGCTTGAATCTGCATATGAGGTGAAGAAGGATCAGGGAGGGATGGATGAGGTCATTGTGCCTAATGGAAGACTTTGTTTCTTGCTGCAGAGAATGAGACTCTTCTCATTAAAGCCAGTTAAATCTCTGAGATTAATGGCATCTAGAAACAGGGTTTTAACACCTGGTGTGAAACTAAGTAGTTCTTGATTTATGATTTTAATCTCTCTGTTTTTTTCTTATGCTTAAAATTCTACTTAGGGGTAAGGTTCAGCTTCCCCCCCATTGGCACAACTGCCCTCCTTCAGGTCACACTCCTTGCAATAGAGATGCTACCTTTAATTATTCCAGATATCTCCCATTTGTCTTAAGTCTCATGGGATGCTTTCTCATGTTGCGATGATTGAAAATGTCAGAAGAATTTGTAGAAAAGGGCATTGTTTTGAGACCTTTTGAGCTGACTTTGCTGGTCCAAGTTTGGTGCATTTATATATATAATTTTTTTCACGTGACAGAGATTGTAATACTTGCAGTGTGTGCATTAAAATGTGTATAATCTCTTTACTCTGGAAGCCCTTTTGGCAACACCACTGAAGCAGTTTGAATTATTTTTCACTTGGATTGAGATTGTATCTTTAGAAAATGTGGTGAAATCCAGTGCTGGAAAACATGCAAGATTGACAGCCCTGGAAATTGAAATCCCTGTTAATCCATGTACTAGCTAGCACAGCCTAGATGGAGCAGACTCTCTA